GTTTAATAATTAGGTAATTCAGTAAGTGTACAAAAAGTATTGAAAGACATTGGAGTAGAAACTGATTCCCCACTCCCAAATCATTTAATTATGGGGGGTTTTTCGCTTGTCAAATTCTTTTCAGATAGGTTTAATCATCCCCCCCAATAAAACTTTCAGTTTCGATTCTATGTCACTGCTACGTCAGCATTTTTTGTGAATGACCTCCAAAACATCAGAGGTAGGATCAGGTGCCATGGAGGAGTGAGCATTCCTTGCCGATCGATCACACCCGCCGTGTGCTCCTTGTCATGATCGGAAAATAACGGGAAAATCCGTCGTCAATTCAGTCTGTAAATAATGAATTAACAATTAGTATGAAAGTCAGCATTTGATGCAATTAATGATAAATTGCATTTGCTGACAAGGTCTTTCTGTGTCGACCACAGAACTAACAATATGATGACTTTAGACTAGACTGCTGATATTCTTGTTTCATCAACTTGTTTGTCAATAAAAAAGAGGCTGAAAATGATTAAAGCAATTCATTTTTGATAATACGGGATTGAATGTGTTCAAAATTTATTGTTTATGACAAAATATGTGTATTTAAGTGATTTAATCTAAAATAATATATTCCGTTTTCCGTTCCGCTTTCCGTTACGTTTTCCGTTCAGCATTTTAGCAACACCCCTGGAAAATCTGGTCTCTTAAGTTAATGAAGCATTTTCGCTGATGAAAAATTACAAGAAGTGAAAATTTCTTAGTACTTTTTCATTTTAATTTTATACTCCATACAGCCTCTTGGGTTTATCTACAAGTATGGCGATAATTATATTCTTTCAGTGACATCCCCATCGATCACCTTCCCAAGTCCTCTTCTGCTATCACTTATTATAGATGATGCATATATATATTAAATTCTACGTCACTACTTTTGAACCAAGTGTGTAGAAAGAAAAATATTCCTCATTTTCGGAATTTTAGATTTACTCAATTTGATTTTTTAAACTAGACTTGTATTTATTATTCCGGTCAAAATGCATCATTAATGACAGATTTGGGATGACACAGATGAATGCTAGGCATTCAAAAGATTGATACGCAGGTTCCTATCCTATAAAATGAAAGGGAAAAAAATATCTTTATAGGCATACAGATTCACTTTAGGAAAATGCAACCAATCATTTTAGATTTATATCAATTGTATAACATTCAAATTAATGAAATAAATAACTCTCAGTCTAATCATATATGCATCAACTGCAATCATTTTGATTATGTAGAACGAAAAGGATGCGGCAAAATCAATATTCAACCTTAAAGACATGAAAATATTCAGTTATTACTAGTATTCAATATATAATATTGGGAAAGGGGGGATATCCATTCCCTCCCCCTTATAATTATCTCATAAATATGTATACATGCATGTTGTTGTTGTTTGTGTTGGAACATCGTCGCAAACCACGACTTTTGAGTCCGCAAGTGATGATAGAGAGAATTGATGTGAATCACCCGTGGGTTACCGACGATGATGTTGGAACAATGCACATTATTTGAATATGTGCACTTCTTAGTGACATAGTTTTTCACATCCCTCCATAATTAAATCCCTGTATGTCAAGGTCAACGTAAAATCTGATTTGCGCAGAGAAAGACACGGTTTATGTTATGAATGATAAAAACGCACACAGTGTAATAAAATGTCACAATGAGACAAACGTCATAACAAGACAAACGTCATAATGAGACAAATGTCATAGTGAGGCAAGTTTCATTGGAAACTTTGTTTGTAGTATAAACTAGCTAGAAACGGACGTCCAAAAGAGCAATGAAGGTAAGATCTAAACGACAATCTACTAGTATATTATATTAAAGAGCTTTTATGTTGGAGAACTTTAAAACATACTTCTTGCAAATGGTCATATGTTGGTTTTATCTTGAAATGCAATAAACAAAAGTAAATAAGGAAGGGTCAAGCAGAGGCAAGGAGTGGAAGAGGAGGAGGATTCAGGTATTTTAAACAAGAGATTCCGTTATATTTAAAAGATCATATGAATACCGGTATATATAAATAAGGTCCGAAGAAAAGGCCCACCGTACCCCCCTCCCCCCCCCCCCCCGAATAAAAGGATTTTAGAGTTTGCTTTTTTGTTCACTTTTACAACAGTTGATAATGCTTTTAATATTTACACTGTGTCGGTTCTCGATGGATTCTTAACTCTAATATGATTGGTAATATGGCGTTTTGTTCCAGTGTTGACTAGTGATTTTAACTACACCGAATGAATTAACCAATACGTACATGTTTAAAACATCAAATATTCAAATATATCAAAATCAATTTTTGTCATCTCTCACGAGAGATGACACATTAAGTTTGATTTCCGGATGTGAGGTCCCAGTGTAAGCAGCCATTAAAAATCGGTAACCCTCGGATGATTACGCTCTGGCAAGAACTATCCGAGGAGCACCGAGTTGTCACTTTGATGATGATGCGATTTTCTAAATATAGAGCGGTAAACAATGAGCGATCCAAACATTGAAAAAGACAAAAAAGGGCTGCACACGAATCACAGAGGGCCAGACACACAATATCGCCTGCTGGTTGTTTGCATGGTGTTCAAAATATATGTACTTATTTAATCATCTACATGTTTACATGTAGGCTAGGCCTACTGCGTAAATGATCTATGGTCTGCACGAGATGGAATATTCTATAACTAGGTCAGCGCGTTGAATCACAAATTATCTGCTGAGGCGTGGATCCAAGAATTAACAGAAAAACAACATCAAAGTTAATACATTTACATTTAGTACTATAAACTGCTATGAATTGATGTCGAAAACTTTTTTTATGGTTGTCATTCTATAATTTATTGCCATTTTTCCACAAAAAAATACATGTATGGGGATAAGAAGAGACAAGAATATATTTGAAAAACTACGAGCATTGGAAGAAAACTCACAAAGATTATGATCGAGTATTTTCTTGAATATTTACAGTTTTCTTTTTAATCATATACATGTACCCCGGTATAATAAAAGAACTTGCAATCATTTTTTATACAATTTTCAATTGTATTAATAGCAAAAAAGTAATCAAATCACCTTTTCTATTTTATTGAAATGAAGCCAAAATTAAAATATATTCCTAAAACAGTCGTAAATTCAAGGTTGGCAAATTGGGATTTTTTCCAGATAATTCGTGAATGCTTAATTTTAGCTGATACCTTTTAAATTTTACTATCGTATTGCGCTAAGTGGAACTTGGTCAGCTGTTGTTACTATCTTGAGTGTGTTTTTAAATAAATTAACAAATACAAATGCATTTAAAATTCTTTTAGTTATAATAATATTATGTGATTTTAAAAATAAATTCTCAGAAAATATGAATTGCTCATTGATTCTATCTGAATAGTACGAAGGTATGAAATGAATGGCCAATTCATTCTTTCCTTTATGTTTAATGTATTTTAAATTGACATCCAAATTTTCTTTTAAAAATGTAATTATTCCAAAGTTAGATACATGCCTATATGAAGATTATAATCCTTTCACATACTAAAGTATGAGAATACGTTTCAATCAATTGCAAACGTGTCCAAAAATTAGTAGTTTTAGGATTTTCCATATAAAACAGTTTCACGATTTATATATAGTTCAGTGTGAAATGCTTAAGCATGAATCGTGATATTATTTAGAAAATTTCAGAAAAATATATTTTCTTCAAATCTGAGTCCCAGCCCGGCCCTTTAACCTTTCACTGTTGTAAATGCATGTTCACTGCAAGTCATCTCCCTTATCCATACTTTTTCTTTTAGTATAGTCATGTCTTCGCCAAATAAATGGTTTTTCAGAAAAAATCAAAAACTGTAAACCTTTCCTTCCCATCTAAAACATACGATTTTGGAGTTTGGAAGCTACCCTTTTTCCTGTTCAATATCTAATTTCCATTCCCCTAAAAATAATAATAATAATATTCTGTCTTTAAAAGAAAAATGTTACATTCCACTGTTTATTCTTTGACACAGATGGAGCCAAAGAGATGACATTTAAGGCTTTCTGGAAAGCCAAACTTGTATACCTTATATTTGTTTCATTTAGAAGAGAGCCCGAGGAACCTTAAAATGCAGAAAAGACAGCAGGACCAAGACTGAGAATAAAGCCGTAGAAGATGTCGATGCAACGAGTGGGAAATCTCTTGAAGAACAAGGAAATGCTCCAAAGGCATCAACAATGTCTAAAACTTCAATCTCTGACATTGGCCAAAATAATGCAGGTCTTGCATTGAAAGCGCATCTGTCTGAAGAGGTAAAAAAAAAATTATTTAAACTGAATTATTTCGAAATTTTGCACAGACAAAAATTTTCTACATTTGTATTAATTTTACAAAATATTAACTATAACTAGAACAAATCTTGTAGACTTGTATTTACAAGGAATACTCTTCTTAATTTAGGATGTACGCGGTATTCTTAGAGACGTACACATCTCTGTGTCTAGGAGACGTACCGCCATAGATCAAATGTGAGTAATGCAATTCAATGACAAATATTTCCAATGTACATGTAATATAGATAGTTCGTGTTGCGGAGGGGGGATTTAGTTTTCACGGCGTTAGGGAGACAACCCAATTAACTCAGAGAGAGAAGAGAGAGAGAGAAATGTACTTTCGTTTTTTTCACTCCAACATGGCAAAATTAGCCTTTTTAAATGTATAAACCAGGATATATAAATACTGTATGCAGGGAATTTTTCGCCCGTTGTCGTTTTATTTTCGCCCTTGTCTCAAGTGGGCGAATTTAAAACGGGGGGATTCAAAGAACACAGAAAAAAAACATGAACAGAAATATGACTGGGCGAAATTAAAACGGGGCAAAATTGTAAGCAAGAGTAAAGGGGCAAAAATAACACGGGGCGAAAATATCCATGTAAACAGGAGTAATAATATTTTTGTTTGATTTCAGAATTACCAAAGAGCAAGCAAATGAATTAGCTGATGCCTTCATGGAGTCATTTGAAAAAAGAGCCAAGTTTACAAAGAGGTTCTATTTAGACGGTCGAAGAGAACCACAGGAGGTATATGCCACTTTAAAATTGAAATGATATAAATAATAAATCCCTAGCTGAAATATTAAGAAATGGTAAGTTGTCCTTGGTGCTTAGATATGATCATTGTTTTGCTTTCTATATCATTCCATACAAAATTTATCCCGGTCACCAATTCAAATGTAAATCTATGCTTCCTTTACTACTATCAACTCGGCACACCTCGTTAGATTTGTACTTCATCGAACACGTTTGATGAACACTGATGAATGTAACGGAATCAGTAGAGGCGTGCCGAGTGTACTAAGGTTAATTGGTCAATTCCGAAATTAGATCGAACACCAACGATACTCGGATCACCTCGAACAATTCCATCTAACGTTAAATGGAATCGGCCGAGGTGATAGAGTGACATCTGAGGTTAGCCTGGTCCCATGTCTCATCCTTGTCAAGTGACGCGGAGTATGAGAAGCATAAGGAGCATAACAGGGAAATGGAACCAGGCTAATCCGAGGTTAGGGTATCCGGAATCTGCCGAGGTGAGCTGAATGTATCAACGAATGCAATTCAGATTTCCGTCCACGCTGAAACGTAAGCGGTCCAATATCTCGATAGGTCCAATGTCTCAACCCACGGTCAAACATTGATTTTTATGACCGATCGGTGTAAAATACAGGAAGTTAGACGTTTTTCATCGAAAATTTTATTTAAAAAATATATATTAGTTATGCATTTATCTTTATTTCACTGACAGATTCTCTACAAAGCAGCGGAGGAAAATTTGAAAGAGTTGATTATTCGTACAACCAGCAACCCAAGTACATTGTAAGCATGATGGATTGTCAATGCAAAAGTCATTTACAGCAACATTTAGGTCCTTTATACATATTCGTAACGACTCGGCTATTTCATTAACTGCAAATTTTAAGGAAAAATTTAATTTAATTTTCAAATTGTTTATAAAATGCAATTAAATTGAATCCCATATCCTTGTATTGGTAGTGAAGGGAAACCACTATTCCTACTCAAGCACCCTATGTGTCAGCTACGAACTCCGCAATTAGACAAAAGAATGTGTTCCAGAATGAGGCAATTACGCGCGGAGAAATTGGAAATGCAGCAGGTATTTTGAAAATTTCGCATATGTTGAATAACCGCTCATTTTCTTCAAACTACATGCTTCGAAAAATTAATTTTTTTTTTTAATTTCTAATTTATTTTATTTTAATTACTTAACAGGATTTGTACGATACGGCTTCAGAAATCATTAGAGATCTATGCCAATGCGCAGATACTAATATAAGGTTCGTTCATTATCATAGTGAAACATAAACAATTGAGATTTTAAACTGTTTTATTTACTTTATAAGAATCATAAATTCCCAGGAAAAAATAATTATTTGTTTTTGGTGAAAAATATTAATTTTTTTTTATTACAGATTAAATAGTTATAAAGAGCTAGAGGATTTCTTCAGCAAAGAGGTACGAACTACAACATATATGTACATGTAGCAAAGGACGTACTTGAAATGCATTTGTAAATATTGGGGAAAATTTAACATAAACCAAAAATTTAAGTAATGTAAAGTACTTGCGTTGTATAAATTAAAAATTATACCTGTTTCAGAAAGGGGATCCTAAACCAACAAAGAAAGGCTGGAGAAAATACTTCTGTCGTGTTCATGCAACAAAACAACAGGTACTTGTCAAAAGGACATTATGCATTGAATGTCTAAAGAGAGTTCTTAGGTGCGCAGAGAGGGTGGGGGGGGGGGAGGGGAGGTCTCATGTTTCCAATTTCCTCTACATTCTACATTAAGTTTAGGAGTTCCTATCAATTTAAAGTTGTTTTTTGGAAATCTAGGGGTGTCATTTTGGTTATTTCACTTCATGTAAGAATGCAATAAATGATAATTTTATAGCCCCTCCCCAACGGGGGGGGGGTAGTATTATTTATCCACCCCTTCTTCTTTAACTTTTTTTTATTTATCAATGACGGTTTTGTTATGGATATGGTTTAAGTTAATGCCTTTTTGGATTGTAATATCCATTTTTTTCATCGAAATCTCATGCAGAAACACGTGGATCCCCATCTTTATTGTAAATAAATTAAACTGATAAAAAGTAACGGTCAGGTTTTTTTCATCTCGTTATATATATACAAAGCCTCATATTTCTATTTCAGCAAAAGAAGAAAAATTCGAGATGGCTTATTCGTCTTCGTCGATTATTCAGCCGACCCCAATGCTAATATAATAATGAATTTTTCACTTAGTTAAAGACAATTATTTATATTTTCGTTTGTCCAGAAGTTACATACATTACTGATTCAAATTCTGAATCATCATACAAATGTAATAAAAATATGCCAAATGTTTATGAAATAATTTGGTTTTATTAAAAAGTTTAAAATATACATGTAATACATGTAATACCATTCAACCATTGGTTGTCTTTTTATTTTTTATTTAAACTTCACAATTACAAATTATACATCTTCTTGGTCGCCTGTGCATGTGGCGCAGTGCGTGGTTAGAGCGTTTGCTCAAAAGTGGTGGATTAAGCCGATGATGCTTTTTTAGCGGGTGAGAATCCCACTGTGGGACATGAAGACCGGTACTTGGGGTGAGATCCCTTGGTGTCTCAGTTGTTGAAAGGGGAGTTAAAGAAACAAACAATGACATATTGATTAGATGTCGTTTTACATGTAAATATACTTAATCCTCTTATCCCAGATATGTTTTTTGCCTGGTGGACATAACATTATTTATTGAAACAAAACCTTTCAAAATCTTTTTTGGAGTGTTAAAAATTTTTACCTCCGAAACATTTACAACAAAAGAGCCAGCGATCGAACAAAAACATGCGCTAACGTAACGTCACAATGAAGGTACAGCGATCCATCTATATTACATCACAGATGAAGAAACGTCATAATGGGAAAAACGTCATCACTTAAGTTGCAGCTATAGAAACATAATTTTCAGAGACAAGTCAAACTGAATGTTGAATGAAGATGGCAGCAGATTCACTCGAGGTAGATAACTATTTTATATTCTTAATACTTAATTTTTTATGAATTTTTGGAATTCCTAAGGACATTATTTTGATTAATTTTTACTATGAAATGCAAGAAACTAACATCAAGAGGATTGAGTATAGAAGGGGGAGGGGGGAGACAGGGAATTTTTCACAATTTGATTTTTAGTGGGGCATTTTTTTTTCTCTTTCATGCTAAATTACTATTTGATTTGATATTACATTTTATGAGTACAGACTGTATAATTATGTAATGCACATGCATATATTTGAAATAATAGACATCAAGAAATTCGTGTCTACAGGAATGGAGGGAATCGGGGTGAATCTAAATGGCCATAAGATCATTTTCTTATTATATGCTACGGACTTATAGTTTATGAATGTGACCACTGCAGTAATTACGTATACGCCTAATAACTTTTATTTTGGCTTGTCAAGGAAGATTTCATTATATATAGGTCTAATCATAATATTAAATGGTACCCTAAGATGTAAAATACTATATGTATGCCTTTTTAATTTTTTTCTCGGAATTTCCTTAGCACCATGAAAATAATGTATATGTGTACTTTTTTATAGAAGCGAACTTTATATTAAAGCAGCTTTCGTGTTGACAAAGATGCGCTAATTCATGACAACCGCAAAGAAATGATTAATAGATATTTACTTTTCTATGATGTCTTTGTTCGAGATAGAATTGCAAATAATAAAAATATTCTTTTCTACATAAATCTAATGGTTCATCATTAGACGCAGTTAAAAAAAATAACTGGACAAACTGATACTGAAGGGACTTGAATCAAATGGTTAAGGGGAATCAAGAGCATGTAAAAATAAGGAATAATTGTCAGAATTTTTTTTTTATTTCATGACGGTGGTCAATCAATTGGCTTGCTTCGTTTATGCAAATTATCACGCAAGCCACTCGAATGATCACATCATGAAATCAAAATATTAGACAGTTAATTATTTCTTTATTCCAACACATGGTGTGGACATGTAGATGACAATTTACGAACATCTGCAACATCATATGTAGCCAGTTGCATGTACTGTGCTAAATTTTGACTAACCGCCAATGTAAACGTATAGTATACCTACATATTTAACATTTAAACAATGGTGTGTGTTTTTCCAGTTGAGGGTCTTGCTTAGATCCCTGAATAAAGTTTTCAACTCTATGACTCTAAGACAGTGTACATTCCTGCACCAAATGTGAGTAAAGAAAATCTATTTTTACCAGAAATATATTTCATGTTAATCACACTAGTATATGTAAGTAGCCTTTTCAAGTCAGTCATTCAAATATTTTATATGTAAGTAGCCATTTCAAGTCAGTCATTCAGATAAAATAACATTCAAATTAAAAAATAAAGAATTTAAGAATCTTTGCTAATGTCGTCAATCATTAAATTTTCAATAATTTGTGTCTTTGAACATAAACTCTAAAATCTGTTTTTATTCTTTTTGAAATTTATTTCTTTTTCAATTTTAATTTTATTAAGCTTCACAAAAGAACAAGCTGATGAATGTCTTGCTTCTTTCATGGAGAGTTTTTTTGAAAATGATAAGTTTAAAGGTCTACTCGAGAAATCCACAGACAAAAGCAGGGAAGCACAGGAGGTAAGATACCTTAAGTTCATGTTGAACTATATGCATGAATTTACGAAATTGACCTTCTTACCTCAAAATGAATAGAGGTCTTCTTTAGGTCAAAGCATGGAAGCTCAAGAGGTATGTTATACCTGAAGTCTGTGTTGAATTTTATCAGTTTAGTTTATGAATATAAGGAAAGATAAAAAAAATAATGTATTACAGAAATTAGTAATTTCACACTAGCAAGTTTTCTACAAAACCCCAAGTGAAAACTAATGAAAATGTGATTTGAAATTTAAATTGAATATGATTTCGACGCATATAACTTATTTGTTTTGTTAGTTTAGATAAGTTACATTTACAATAAAATCAATACCAGTACTGTAGATCACTGATTTTTTGCGACACCTTATTTTGGCGAGATAGTCATTGACTCTTTATTAGCGAGACATAATTTTCACAAATTATTGTTTTCCCTCTATATAATACTTTTAAACGCGAGAAAGAAATTTTCGCGACCTCATTGTCTCGCGTAATTACGCGAAAATAAAGTTCATGCGAATAAAACAAAATAAATTCACAATTTTCGCAATTTAATATTTAATTGAAACAACACATTACGAATGTACCATCTCTACAAGCTATCCAGGTGTTACGATCTGTTGTAGAGTGCAGTATAAATTATTATATTATACTTTCATGTAAATTACTTGAATCTGATTCGTCGAGAAACATTTGATAAAAAACACTTCAACCCGCTGAATAATGAAGCCACGCCCTCCTGCGTAGCAACAGTCAACATTGCTTGACGACGGGTGGTATTACATAAAATAGCGACTGCGCAGAATTTAATGTATTTGTATAAAACATTCAGTATAATATAATAAATATTGCATGTAGTTGAGTGTAACATTGAAAATTTTCACCCCAAGAAAACCATTGTCAACCGAGGCGCAGCCGAGGGTGACAATGGTTTTCGAGGGGTGAAAATTTTCAATGTTACACTCAACTACATGCAATATTTATATAGTAGTTATAGTCAAGATAATTATGAAAATGTAATGATCTTCATCAAATTAGTACAGTTACTGAATTTATTTCCTCGTGATGTCTTTGGAAAAAAAAATCAAACCAAACACACCAAGACTCAGTCTAATTAAAATCAAACTTTGTAAATCTGCGCCGTATTCACTCTGCATAAGGAAATCTTACCTATATCCTGACTATGGTCGTGTTCACGTGGTTCACGCAGAGTGAATACGGTGCGGATCTAAGAAGTCCGATTTTAGTTAGATTGCACCAAGACTGCTTATAGACATTAATTATACTTTTACCTAGTACATGATGTGGACGTTATGGACGACTTTGTTCGTTAATTATAAACCACAAGCACCTGACATTACTTATTTTTCTTTTAATGAAAAAAATATACCCATACCTTATAATAAGGGTATACATAATTATGGGTATATACCTTATTATAAATATGGGTATATTTTTTTATTTAAAGAAAAATAAGTATACGTCAGATGCCTGTGTTATAAACGTATTCCGTTATATACTCACCTAACTTTTTGGTACATAGTTATATATGTACCTGTAATTAATTTTCACCCTAAAATTAGGGTGTTGCGTTTCTATTGACGGTGAGTATATAAATCTGTTTATTAGCCAATGGGAATGAACATATCTTCGCTGTAAGCATCAGTTAATTATAATCAAGTTCGCTATAAACGTGTTTTAATGTATGTATTATGTTTAATTACATTTTCATCTATATCCGACAGTTGTTATACAAAACTGCAGAGGAAAACATGAGAAATTTGATCAATCGGGCTCTTGCAAGAAACGTTAGAATACAAAAGTAAGTACCGGTATATAGTAACAATTATATGTTTTATTATTTCCAAAATGAAGTTTTATATTTCACACATAGACATTTCCAATTGCTCGTATTGCAGATTTTTTTTTATTTTAAAAATAAACCCCAGTTAAAAAATTTTAACTTGCAGCATAGGCGTTCCTGTATGAATTTTAAAGGCGGATTCCGCCTGGAATTTGGGTGGAATTGAGCAGGAATTGGCAAATTCCGGGCGTACTTGAGGCGGAGACGGAATTTTCAAAAAGTTACGCCTCAGGAGAAGAGACGTCTTACATTTGTATTTTCCGGGCGTCAATTGGCAAGTTCAGATTTTTCGGGCGTAAAATAGCAGGAAAATAGAAAAAAAAAAACTAGAAACTCTTGTTGCTACAGCAACAAAGAAGGTCTTCCGTTTTCCTCTATTTATCTACATGAATGAGCTTTTATCTATGTTAAAAAGGCATATAATATTTTTAATGATTTCAGGAAAACAAACAGCCGGAGGTGTAACTTACCAAGATTCTTTACTTTACTTTAGACAATGATAGTCTTAAAAACATGTACAAAAATCATTTTTTAATTTTTTTATTACTTCCTGTGACGACCGGAAGTGACGGCGTACGCATTTTACCCTATATTTTTTGCCCAATTTTCATGTTGTTTTATTCATATTAGTGTCTTGATCTGTTACAGTTTAAGAGATCTCGTAGTATTATCTTCTCATTTTGAGGACAAAAAATCACGTGACCGGAAGTTAATTTTTGAAAAGATATTGGAGGTTACTCTAGATATTTCAGTCTAAATAACATGTCCTAAAATCATTTCTAATGCTCTTCTTATCAAAAATATTTATGGGATAGTATAATACTAAATTTAAGCAGTTTTTCTTTCATAAGCGGAAGTTGTCCATTTTGTTTCCAGTGGGACTGACATATTTCAAAACTACAAAAAAGATGCTATAATGTATTACTAAGAAAGATTTCATAAGAAAAGTTTTTATTCATTTGTTCACTTCCTGTGACAACCGGAAGTGACGGTGGACAATCATTTCCTGACTAGTTTTGCCTACACATTAAGATCTACCACTTGTAAAAGTTTGGTGTCTTAATCTCTTACTTTTTACGAGATCTAGTTATGATAACTTCTCATTTTGAGGACAGGAAATCACGCAACCGGAAGTGAATTTTATAAAGATATTTGGAGTTAGTGAAGACAGTTACAGTCTTAATAGCATATCTAAAAATCATTACAAATACTTCATCTATGAAAAATATTTACAGGAAAGAAAAATATTCAAATTATGAAGCTTTTCTCTTATAACCAGAAGTTGTCTTCTTTGTTTCCGGTGTTACTGACTTATTTCAAAACTACAAATAAGATGCCATTATGTGATAAAAAAAAGTTTCCATAAGGGAAAGTTGAATTTTTGGACTTCTTTGATCACTTCCTGTGACGACCGGAAGAAATAATAACTTCTCATTTTGAAGACAGGAAATGACACACAACCGGAAGTGAATTTAAATAAAATAGTTGATGTTACTGTAGACATTTGCAGTCTGAATAACATATCCAAAAACAGTTGCAAACATTTTATCTATAAAAAATATATATTGGAAAGAAAATATTCAAATTATTTAGTTTTTCTCTTATAACTGGAAGTTGTCGTTTTTGTTTCCGGTGGAGCTGATATATTTTGAAACTACAAATAAAGCGCTATCATGTGATGCAATAAACGTTCCATAAAAGAAAAGTTGAAATTTCCGATTTTTTGACCACTACCTGTGACGACCGGAAGTGACGGCGGACAATCTTAACCCATATGTTTTTGCCTTTTCGTCAAGATATACCACTCCTATAAGTTTGGTGTATACATCTCTTACCGTTTCCGAGATATAGCTATAAGAACTATTCATTTTGAGGACAGGAAGTCACGCGACCGGAAGTGAATTTTTCAAAGATATTTGACGTTACTGTAGTCATTTGCAGTCTGAATAACATATCTAAAAATCATTTCAAAAACTTTATCTATAAAAAATATTTATGGGAAAGAAAAATACTGATAAAATGCAGTTTTTCTCTTATAACCGGAAGTTGTCGTTTTTGTTTCCAGTAAGACTGACATATTTCAAAACTACGAGTAAGATGCTATAATCTGATGCAAAAAAACTTTCAAAAAAGAAAAGTTGAAATTTTCGATATTTAGGAACACTTCCTGTGACGACCGGAAGTGACGGCGGACGATCTTAACCCAAATGGATTTGCCTACTTATCAAGATCTATCATCCCTGTAAGTTTGGTGCCTTAATCTCTTACCGTTTCTGAGATCTCACTCGGATTAAATATTTTTGAAAAAAGCGGAAATCGGACATATCTGACGACCGGAAGTGAATTTTGAAAAAATGAAAAAAAAAATTCTGAGCGTATTTAGGTTGTCTATCATTCCTGAAAATTTCAGGACAATCGGTCCAGCCATCTTTGAGAAATCTTACTGACAAGATTTGGGGAAAAAAATAATAATAAGAAACTAGAAACTCTTGTTGCTACAGCAACAAAGAAGGTCTTCCGTTCTCCTCTATTTATCTGTATGTGTGAATTTTTATCTATGTTTAAAATAAAGGAAGATTTCCGATGTTACTTTAGAAAATTATAGTCTTAATAACATTTACAAAAAATCATTTTCAATTTTTATATCACTTCCTGTGATGACTGGAAGTGACGGCAGACGGATTTTACGCTATATATGTTGCCCAATCTTAATGATTTATTATTCATATAAGTTTTGTGTCTTGATCTAGAACAGTTTAATTTAAGAGGTCTCGTCATATTAACATCTCATTTTGAGGGCAAGAAATCACGTGACCGGAAGTAATTTTTTCAAAAGATATTTGAGGTAACTCTAGACATTGCAGTCTGAAAGACATGTCCAAAGACTATTTAAGGTCTTCCGTTTCAGACGGAAGACCTTATAGTGATTCTACTGTTTTTAAGGTCTTCCGTTTCAGACGGAAGACCTTATAGTGATTCTACTGTTTCTTTTTATTATTTTTTTTCCCCTTTTCTTGTAAATCGGATTTCTCAGAGATGGCTGGACGGATTTTCCTGAAATTTTCAGGGATGATAGAGAATGAAAATACGCTCAGGCGTTTTTTTCATTTTTTCAAAATTCACTTCCGGTCGTCAGTTATGTCCGATTTCCGCTTTTTTCAAAAAAGTTTTGTCCGAGTCATATCTCAGAAACGGTAAAAGATGAAGACACCAAACTTATATGAGTAATAGATCTTGATAAGTAGGCAAAACCAATCGGGTTAACATCGTGCGCCGTCACTTCCGGTCGTCACAGGAAGTGATCAAAGAAATCGAAAATTTCAACTTTTTATTTTTTGAAACTTTTTTGCATCACATTATAGCATCTTGTTTGTAGTTTCGAAATATATCAGTCTCACCGGAAACAAAAACGACAACTTCCGGTTATGAGAGAAAAACTGCATATTTTCAGTATTTTTCTTTCCCATAAATATTTTTTATAGATAAAGTATTTGTAATGATTTTTGGATATGTTATTCAGACTGCAAATGACTACAGTAACGTCAAATATCTTTGTAAAATTCACTTCCAGTCGCGTGATTTCCTGTCCTCAAAATGAAAAGTTATCATAGCTAGATCTCGTAAACGGTAAGAGATTAAGACACCAAACTTATATAAATGGTAGATCATGAAAAGTACGCAAAATCATTTGGGATAAGATTGTCAGCAGTCACTTCCGGTCGTCACAGGAAGTGATCCAAAAAATCTAAATTTTTAACTTTTCTTTCATGAAACATATTTTGCATCACATTATAACATCTTATTTGTATTTTTGAAATATATCAGTCCCACCGGAAACTGAAACGACAACTTCCGGTTATAAGAGAAAAACTACATAATTTGAGTATTTTTCTTTCCCATAAATATTTCTTATAGTTAAAGTATTTGTAATGATTTTTGGATATGTTATTCAGACTGCAAATGTCTACAGTAATGTCTAATATCTCAGTAAAATTCACTTCCGGTCGCGTGACTTCATGTCCTCAAAATCAGAAGTTATCATTGCTAGATCTCGTTAACGGTAAGAGATTAAGACACCAAACTAATAGGGATGGTAGAACTTGACGAGTAGACAAATCCTTTGAGTTTAAGATTGTCCGCCGTCACTTCCGGTTGTCACAGGAAGTGATCAAATCAATAAAAAATTTAAACTTTTCTTTAAGGATTTTTTCTAAGTATTACCTTATAGCATCTTACAAGTAGTTTCGAAATATGTCAGTCCCATTGGAAACAAAAACGACGACTTCCGGTTATGAGAGAAAAACTGCATAAATTGAGTTTCTTTCTATCCCATAAATATCTTTTGTAAAAAGAGTATTTGAAATGATTTTGGGACATGTTATTCAGACTGCAAATGTATAGAGAAACCTCAAAATGAGACCTTTGACCCTTACTCAAAAAGTAATTAAGGAATATTCATTACCTTTATCTAGATTCAGCTTCAAGTGTTTATCTCAAATTTACCTCTCTCTCTCTCTCTCTCTCTCTCTCTCTCTCTCTCTCTCTCTCTCTCTCTGATGACCTTGACCTTTGACCTTGATAAATGACCTTGTTCTTTGGCCCCATTGACCCAAAGGTCACAATCAAGCTGACGGTCGTGGAGGTATTTGCAACTCTTACTCTAACAAATGCTTATAAAATATCCCCTCCTTTCTCTAAAAAAAAAAACAAAACAATCAACACCAACTTAGAGAAAATGTCTACAAGTCAAACGAAACGAAATATCGGCATAAGATTTGTAATAAAAGAAAGAAGAGACCTGAAAGAAGGTGTCCTGAGAGTTTTAAGGTGAGTCTCTGAAGTATTTTGAAATTCTAGTGAATATCGGCAAAATCTGCATTTTTTTTCTGTCTGAAATTAAGTTATTGCTTGGCATAAAAATTAATTAAAACTCGTATTGGCTATTTCTGCAATTATTG